TGCGGACGCTGTGTCTGCGCTACGGCCTGTTCCTTCTAGGGCCTGACGTTTCAGCCCCCGGTTAAAGCAAACGGGGTAATTCCCGCGAACAGCTTTAAGCTTTCCGGCTTTGTGTTTTGGGGTTGGTTTGTTTGGTTTCGTCCTTCTGTTTTGGCCACAGTTGAATTTCCAGCAGTCCTGTTAAACACCTCAACGGGAGAGATTGAATCTGAGTTCCACACATACGTCCAGCCCCAGGAGCATCCTATTCTCTCTGAATTTTGTACAGAACTGACTGGTATAACGCAGGTATAATGGCTATTTAGCGCTGTTTTACACTGGTATAATTGCTATTTATTATTTTATTTTAAGAGGCCTTTAAAGGGCTAAAAAGACTAAACCTCAAATGAATTTCAGTGCACACTAACGCAAACATGCTTCTTGTTCTCTTTCATAAAGAATCAAGTTGATGATGGGGTCCCTCTAAATATTTGTTTGTCACAATTTTTGAAATGGATTCAAAAGATACAAAAGGAGAAGAAAATTATATTCAGTACAGATATTCTAGGTAATTCTACTTCCGAAGCAAAAGCGTGTACCTTTGTTACTTGGACAGGTAAATAAAATTTTCATTTGCTTTTTCTGTGGAGTAATACACATAGAAAATTAACATTTGGTGGCGCTAGTGAGATGGTGCCTTTACTTTTAGGAAGCCAAATTCCTGTTACTAGGTGGTAAAGATGCGCAATATTGAGATAAGACTGAAAATATGAAATCCACGTGTTCACTACGTCTTTGTCTCCAGAGTCTGACACGGTTACATTTTTCAGCTTTACATATAGTGAACTGTGTCACCGTTCTTAATGTGTCTAGATGATTTAACGAGGTCTTTGGGATCTTTACCCGTCTGAAGCCATTCTTCACTAACAACGGGTGTTCACTTATCTGTTCACTTATCCTGATGTCCCGTTGCAGCAACCCTGGGGCTTTTCCTGTACAAAGACTTCATTAGCCTGTGCTTCCTTGCCCAGCAGTACAGGACTACTAGTGTGTTGACGTTATGTCCCTTTATGCAGATTTTAAGCCATGTTTAGGTAGATTTTAGGCCAGTCTTTAGTGATGGATTATTTGCGGGTTTTTTCTGTGCAGACTGGGACCTGGGAGTGTGTTTGCAGTACGAGTGTAAAAGGAAGCAGCTGCGAAAACCTGACATTTTAAATTCCTGGATTGATCTCAAAGCAACATACAGGGTGAGAAGATCGATAGACTGTGAAACATTTATACCCATACTATCATCTCAAAGGTTAACTCTATCTGAGGTTACAAACCAATATTGTATGTTCCAGTGATGAGAGTAACCCATTTGTTTTCTTTCCACGTCGTTATCACTCAATAACAAACTGCATGCCCTAGAACTGTGTGAATTTTATAGAAATCTTAATGCTAGGAAAACAACCTGTTGTTATTGTTAGATAAATGAATAACCCTAGGAGAATTTTTTGAGCTGCTCTTCCTTTCCTGACACCTTTTGCTCTGCTTGCTTCCTAACTTCCCTTGTTTTGCGTGCTCTTATTGCTGCTTACATTGCTGTGTAGAAAATCATCATCATTTGTTCAGAGGTGCTTAAAGGTCTAGCATGTGAACTGCACTTGGGCCAGAAAGTATATTCTGAATATCATGAATAATACTGAAAAGTGAATGTATATTTTATTACGTAGTCTACACTGCAGCAGGGTTCTAACTTGGGAGCTAACAGCACCTAAATGCACCTTTCCCTGTGCAGTCAAGGAAGCTTTCAAAGGGTGATCCAGGTGTCTACCTGTCCTGACACTTGGAGTTTAGGCTTTTAACCTAAGTAGCAGAATTGGGCATCTAAACAGTGTGAATATTGCCCCTTTCTTGTGATCAAATGAGATGCTGGGAGTGAGTAGCAATACTTGCTTTTTCTCACTTAAAAAGAATTTATTCCTATGACAAATACAGTAGTGCCCATGCCTTTGAAACATGCAGCAGTTTAAATGTCTCAAGCTGTTATTTATAGTTGTATTCTTCAATGCTGCTCTGATAAGGCCTTCATCAATGTAAGCCATAAAGTGCAAATGGATGACTCTAGAGGTAATACAGAATGGATTAGTTTAAGACTGAGAGAAGGGATTCAGGGTTCTTTCCACTGTAATTTGTTACAGGGTAAGTCACTTACGGTCTTATGCTTGTTTAACCTGACTGTAAAATGAAGATACCTGACTTGCACAATTGCCTTGTGAGATTTATTATGCATAAGGTGGTATTTCTGAACTGGTTTTCAGTTCACTGTGAAGAGGTTTTGAACTGCTTTATGTTAAGCACCTGCATTTTTTTCCTTAGGCCTTCTATAATAGGAAGTCTAAAGGGCTAAATGGTGCTTTGCAGGATTTGGGGATGGCTTTTGCAGGACGGGAACATTCCGGTAAGTATGATGATCCTCACTTTAATATCTATATTTTTTATAAAGCTAAACTAAAGCAGCTAGTAATGGCTGTAAATGGTAGTAAAGCCATTACTCTAAACAGTAACTATTGTTTACAGGTTATGCAATGTTCTGTCCAACAAAAACATCAAACCAAGAAAGGCTAGATGCTTCTAAGATCAGAGTTTGTTATTTCTAACCTCATGCTTAATTTCTGAAATCTCTCCTAGTGCTTTTGAGGGCATGTTCAACAAGATCAATTTCTGAATTGCTAGGGTGCTAAACAAAAGCGGCAGAGGAAGGATAAGGAAACTTGATTTTACGTGATAGCTCTGGACAGCGTATTAGCGTAAGAGAATACCAGCACACTATGATTTTTTTTCACATGATTAATAAAACAGAACAAGAATTTTTAAAATTGTGGGTATATATTCAGCTCTGTGGATTGGTCCTTCAAATGTTTCAGTACAGGGAATTTTTTGGAAGTTTTTACTTCTATTTCCCTTTTATGAACTAGATAACTATGTGTCAGAGTCCTGTGAATCCCTGTCATTTATGTAAGTCTTACCTAGATTACATTTTTCCTCTAATAAGAACTATCCCCAGGAGTCGTAAGACACTAATATGACCATACTTTTGAAGGGTTGGATGATTCTCGGAATACTGCCCGACTTGCTTGGAGGCTGATTTGTGATGGTTGTGTGCTGCGGGTTACTAAATCTTTGGATAAGGTGAGTAACTACTTCGTATCTTCTCTTCTACTTGCTTTATAGCTAGGAATACAGCTGAAAGGTGAGCTATCCAAATAATAAACCCAGCATCTTGGCTATGAATTGAACAGAACATCCCTAGGCTGATATGCTTATTAATTTTGTGCATTGATTCCTGAAACTTCTGGGTATTCACTTGCCAAAATCTCCTTTTGTTTATGGACTCCCTAGGCACATCCGAAGAGTAATTTAATTTCCAGAACACTGAGTATAAACTTCACTGACAAGACTCCACTGGGAAGTAGCAGCAGACCTGACACATCTAGAGATGGAACTTGTGAAACAAACTCTCTGGCTGAGACAAACCGGAACAGTATTGCTGGAATTAAGATAAATTCTAATGTACAAACTGGAGAACAACGGACCACTTGCACTGGTTCCTCTGCAGGTGTCCACGTTGTGCCTAGCAGCAGCTCAAGGACTCAGTTACACGCTCAATCCCAAAGCTCTTCAACAGCATCTACTGACAGAGTTCCTGTTCCTCTTGGGCAGGCTCAGCAGTGTCCCAGTACTGTACCAACAGGCATTTGGCCAGGACTGAGCAATGGGCAACCTCTGAGTGCAGCTCAGCACAGCCCTCCAGTACACAGGTCAGGACTAGTGCTCGTCTCCACTACCATCCCCTCAGTCAGTGTCTCCAGTGAGGAGATCAGCACTAGTTCTGATTGCCTATCTCTGCTGACGGACTGGGAAGATGTCGCTTTAATACCAGAATCTCAGTTTGAACAAAATTCAGAACGTGTTCAATTCAAAGATGACTCAAATACAGATATTTTAACAGTGTGTGAGGAGAAAACAATGTTGAAACAATTGTCCGTGGTGAGTTCAGATCATCAAAGTTTGGAGAAAACCCTAATACCTATGGCACCTCTGAAATCTATCATTTGCAGAAGTCCTGATCCTACTGTCTATAGTGCAGGAAGAGGACAAAGGCAGACTTTGAATCTTTCAGCTTTTAAGTTACCATCTCTAAATGTAAATGCTGTTTCAGCACAATCAGCATTAACTGGAAACTATTCTACTCCTTTGGAGGTTCCTAAAAGAAAGCCAACTAGTCCAAAAACGTTCCCACCGGCAAAAAAACAATCTTTTGCTGTATATCAAGAGAAAACTGTATCTTTTGATCATTCCCTACCTTTAGGAAACTTAAATTTGCCCAAAGCATCTCCTGCCATTCTGAACTCCATGGTCAACTTGAATCAGTCTGCAAGAGCTGTGAAAAATGGAAAACCAACTCCCCCTCTGTGTAAGTGTGGTCGGAGAGCTAAGAAACTGAACGTGTCAAATGCTGGTCCAAATCATGGCAGAGCATTTTTTTGTTGTCCTGTTGGCAAGCACGAAGGCAATGAGAAAGGTTGTGGATACTTCAAGTGGGAACATGCACTTCTAAAAGAGAAATCTAATGGTCTTGCCCTGAATGCAGATGCTTTGACTTCTCTTGGAACTTACGCCAGTAATGTAGGAAATTCTTCCAACAAAAAATATTTGTGTCTTAGACCCTCTATGAGAACTTGAAAATTGATAATTGTTTTTGTCCAAATCTTAAACTTAGTAAGTTGATCATGCTTAACATAATCAGGACAATCAAATGATGTCAGATATGTTCTGAGAACGGGACAAAAATGACACTGCTTGGTTAACATAGATAGAAAGGGAAATTGCTCAAGCATACAAAAATATCAATATATCCTGAAGTATTTGTTTATGAAGTGTGAGAGAACAGATAAAACTATTAAGTGCTAAAATTAAAGTATAAGCAGCTGTTGCTACAAATCTTAAATTTCTGCTTTAACATGTATTTTAAATTCTTTCCTAGTCCAGTCCTTAAAGAACATTTTAATGATACAGATCTTATTTACATTTTTTATAAAGATACTTGTAATGATTATAACTAAGTTTTAAAAATGTGTGTAGAAGTTGTCATGCTTCTCAAAAGGGATTCTTGAAGCAATAGCGTTCTTTTAAACTCTTACTGGTTTTTATCCTTTAAATTAAATAACAATAAAGATAAAATGCTGGTGATGCTTCATTAAATACTTTATTTAACACACATCACCTATTGTGCTTTTGACTACATGAGTTTCCCATTTCATTTGTATCAGTCTGTATGTGCTTTTATGCTATTAGCGTAGCACCTGAGTCAGCCAATGCTGGGAATCAGGTAGGAGTTTATTCAAACCTAAACTAAGGAGGACATAGTGTAATACCTTACTGTGTAAATCTGCAGTATCTTACTTTGTAAAAAATCCTATAAAAAACCAGCAAGTACTTCTAAGCTTTTCTCCACTCCTTCTGGCGCAGTTCATTTCTTCTGATCTTCCCACTGATAGTTTTTGGCAACTCTTGAACAAACTCCATCTATTGGGAAACAGATGAAGTTGCAATACAAAATAAGATACAGTTTACCTCGCTGTCTTACGGTAGTGAAAACTGTTTGGGTGTTTGAGCACTTACCTTCCTAGGATACTTGTATGGAGCAGTAACTTTCTTAACGTGGTCTTGTAGCTCTTTCATCATTTTTTCCGGGTCATGTGAAGCACAGTCAGACGTTAAAACAACAAAGGCTTTCACTACCTAAAGAAGTTACGGCAGCAATGGTTTAAATGCTGATGAAACAGTGTTACACAACAGTAAGGCTGAAACCTTAACCAAACTTTTGCTGACAACTAAGGAGTTGATAAAGACCGAAAACTGTGTCTGAATGATGGGGAAAGCTTCAAATGGCGCTTTTGTTATATTGGATTTGGGGCACGTGCCTTGGTCAGTTTTTTGCTGTGTGGATTCTCCAGCGTCTGACAGAGTAGAAATGCTAACTTGAATTTATTTAGTTTTAATTTAAAAAAGAAAAAAAAAATCTCTGGATAGACAAATCTCTTAGAAGTTGTGCTTTATTAGCTCTGGTATGCACAAAGCTACTTAAACATATAAGCTTGTTTCACTTGTTTACCTCTCCTCTGATGGGGTCTGGGCTGCTGACAACTGCTGCTTCCACCACTGCAGGATGCTCTACTAGGGCACTTTCTACTTCAAATGGTCCAATACGGTACCTTTGAAATGGAGGAAAGGGCTTTTAGTTGTATTTGATAACACATAAACACAACTTCACATCTGAATCATCTGTGTTATTAAAGTCTGTTTATTGTTCATCAGTCTTAAACTACCCGGCAGAATTAATGACATCATCAGCTCTTCCAACAAACCAGAAGTATCCATCCTCATCCATAATCCCTCTGTCTCCAGTGACATAAAAATCCCCATGTATTGTTGCCTCTGTTTTCTCTGGATCATCCTAGGAAATATTAAATTGCATTTTACATGAAAACTACATTAAAAATCCATTAAATTGCATTCTACCATATTTAGCATATAAGTTTTGGTACAGTCAAATATTTAAAAATTTCAGCTTTTCAGACTGGTTCATACTGTGGCCCTGTGCATCAGCTTCAAGTGCAACCTTAATAATAGAAAATTATTAACTCACCAGTACTAAGGTACAAAACTAGATACAAAATTAAGAAATTGCAATAAATTAATCCAGTTTCACTACTTGTGACTGACTTTAAATTTTAATCATAATATATTATGCCCCATAGCTTTAGGAACAACTGAAGGTTGCAAAAATAGGGAGGCTTATGGAGCTTAGCCTTTGCTTTTAGGTGATTAGACTTTAATGGCTTTTTCCTTTGTATTTCTAGCATCTCTGATCCTGAAGGTTTGTTGGTTTTTTTTTTCCCCACCCCCAGAAAAGTTTTGGCTCAGCACAGTGCAATTAATAAGCACTCTTTCTACATCAAATGCAACTGATTTCTGCAAGAATTTTTCTATGCAGTCTGCATGGTGTTCCTTTCCTGCATGCTCAGTGCTGCTCAAAAGACCTGACTGTTAGGCTGATACTGTTCATAAAATTTAATAAGATTTCCTGGTGTCAGAGCTGAAAGCATTATGCATCTGTTTTACTGAAAATTCTACCCAACACGGAAAAAGCACCTGAAAGATGTTGCTGTGTGTGAAACTTTGTGAAGCTCAAATCTGGAGGGAAGGGGTTTGAACAGTGTCCTGCTCAGATGGGGACTCTAGCCCTTAGGCCAAAATGTATTTTGGGATGGGGGGGGGGCATCAAACATTTCCCTTTTTATTAAGGAAATACCAATCAAAATAAAGCGGATTTTAACTTGCTAGGCAGGACAATCTCATTGAGCATGTAATTGTATAAGTAGACCAAGTATCTGCAGGAAAAAAAATGGAAATCCCTCTTTCCTCCCCACAGGTTTTTCAGATCGGTAAGCAGAGTGTAAGCAAATGAAATGGGCCATTGGATTCCTTGTGACAGAGATTTAACAGGACATCTACTTTAACTAGAAAGGTTCTTACAGCATAGCAAGTAAAAAGAAAAAGCGATCTTGTAGGTTTTACTCTGATGGCAATATCTCCTTCTTTTCCAGGAGGCAGAATATTACTGTTTTCATCTATAATCTAAAAAGAAACAAAATACAGTTTTATTATTTTGGAGCCAAATTAAAAAGCATTAAGTTAAGATTATAGAATCTCGGTGTGTATTTAAAACACATAATCCAAGTTTTTTAAATTGGGAAATTATTTGTAGCAGTAGGGGGTCTTACTCTGACAACTGAAGTGTAAGATTATCACTAATCCACTGTACTTCGCACTATGTCTTTTATCTGAGGAATGCCAAGTACTATGTAAACATATAATGACATTAGTAAGACCCCAAGAAGGATCACAAATAAAGGGCTGGGAAAACTTAATTTCTATCATTGCCCTAAAGTTTGATATCTAACTGTCAGTTAGCAGTGTGTTGTCACCTGTGTTGGTGAGGATGGTGCAGTGACACACAGTTCTTCACTCTTTCATTCAGTGCTGAATGATGCTCTATGTTACAACTCCAGGTCAGAGTTTTCACACCTCTTTACTGGAAAGTGATCGTGAGAGAGAGAGAGACAGAGAGAGAGACAGAGAGAGACTGAGTCACCAGATGTACGATACCTTGACATCATAGTCTGGAGAAGGCTTTCCCATAGAGCCAGGTTTGATTTTCATTCCCTTAAAATTTCCACAGATCAGCACCTGTAACAAGCGTTGTTGGCTTTGAGTTTTTGTTTGTGTTTAGGGTTTTTTTTAATCAAACTGAGGCTTGTACATTCAGTCTTTAGCTTAGGTTTAAAATACTCAGCTACTACTGTGTATTACTATAAGAAATAGTAATTGTCTCCATTATAATCATATACCCAAAGATCAAACTTCTAGAAATAAACCATACCCTCGGCTCCAAATAACGTTAGTGAGTGCTCTAAAGATAGATTCTAAAGCAGAATTTGGAATGCAGTAATGAGTAATATGCCCCTATTGTATAGTTCCCAATCCAAAGCCCACGGGCATGACAAACAGTCCTTGGATTTCGGGTGAAGCTGTTATGATTGTTCTATGACTTGCAAAAAATGGTTTTCTAGTGTTGCTTATTGCAATTGACGTTTCCCCTAAAAGTCATAACTGTGTATAATCATTTTAATAACTTTTTCTTGGCAACTTGAATGGAATTTATTGCTGTATTTGTAAAGCAGAACATACTGTTTCTGTCTGTCCATAGCCTTCATGAATATCCAACCTAGTCTGCGCTTTCCATTCTTCCATCACGTCAGGGTTGATCGGCTCCCCAGCACTGACACAGTGCCGCAGGCTTTTGAAGGTATAGCTTATTGGGGAAGAGAAAACAAAAAATTGGCAGTCGTCTATCTACTATGTCCCATTCAGTATTGTATTGTGGGGTCCTTTCTACATAAACCCAACATTTTTACAGAGTGCTGTTCATTCCATTTGAACAGTGTAGTGTTAAACAAAAACAAATCTGAAAAAATGCAAATAAAAAAGAAAAACTGCTGGTTTCCTTCTGTATTATTTTAGAAAATCTAGAATCTGAACTGGGGTCTAAAAAGAAGAGGAATAACAAAGTTCAACCCTAATGACAATAAAAACTCACAGGAGAGCTAAATGAGGCCAAAGAGTCTTTCAATCATTTCACCAAGTTGTCCTGACACACACACTTCTTGTACCTTGTAGTACTGGAGGAACAAGTGGAAAAGCAAACGGAGGGGTATGTGATTACAAAAGCACTTCTGAAGATCCGTTAATCATTATATCATGGGTATCCTATTACATCCTCAGCTAAACTGCTGTTCAAAGTGTTATGCAAGTTCATCGCAATTTATGAAATCTGAGATGGTTAAGCTGTCCCTAAACCTGTATTCTGACTTCGTTCCTAATACTTAAGATTCAAAATGTTGAGAAATACATAAGCTATGTTACTGTTATGCCGTTGTAAATTTGGAATAAAATCAAGGTGAGATTAGCGTTTAGTCTACTGTTTTGATCAAATACACCAACAAGGATACTCTGCTTTTGCTTACCTGGACAGTTGATGTTGCACAAACATTCGATAGGCAGTTGGAGGAGAACAGAAGACGGTTATGGGAAATCTTGACAGACTCTAGAGAATTTAGAATAAAAAAAGTAAATGTTGCCGATATACTGAAACCTGTGAGGTTTCATCTTCATTGTAAGAGATAATACCATGATCTCTGCATCCAACTTACGAAACATACAAATAAAACGTTGTGTCCTAAAAGCAGTTTGCTCTGTACTTGCCAACACCAACGCACAGCAGTTACATTTAATTAGTTTCTTCTTCAAAACAGAATCTACATAATTTTACAAGTATTTCAACATAACAAAGTCTTTTGCTCTTGAAAGCTTTACAGTTTCTTTTGCACAATTTCTTCATAATTGCAGTTTAAGTAGAAAACAAGTGAATCC